TTAGAACCTCACACCCCTGCCCCCTGCTGCCTGCATGCCTGCATGCCTGCCTGCCTTCTAGTGTAGAAAATACGAAGCAGGCAGGAAAGTATATCCAATACACAAGGATGAAGTAGCTGAAGGAAACTTGCTAAGGAGAAGTGAGGGTGGGAGATAGCGCAGCAGGGTCGGACGAGGACAGAGCCCTTGCACACCATTCTGTGGTCGTGCCTAGCCATGGGAGAGGCCCCTCCTGGCTCTCAGCTTCTCAGCAGCCAGGGAGAAGAGGGGAACCCAATCTGTAATGGAAGGCACAGGGCTTAGGGGACGTATGATTAAGGCCAGTGGGTTTTCCCAGAGGCCCAGCTTTTTCTGACGCTGAGAGCTGAGAGAAATTTTTTAGACCCTCACTGAGAATACCTTCCCACCCATCCTCATGTGGATAATGATGTGCGTTTCCTTCTCTTGTGTCTTCCAATGGCTTGAGGTGCAAGTTCAGAGGGGAGACAGTCCTCTGGGTGAATACGGAAAGAACGCCGAGCAGACAGGGAGCATTCCCCTGGTACTTTCAGATCATTTAGAAGACTTAGAGGTGTGAATGGACTACGTACCCCTCCGATTATCCTTCCAAATAGCAATAGCACAGAATTTTGAGATGAGGCAGCAGGTGGGCCCATGGTGCTGTGTTGGGCATTGGGTGTCACAGTTAGAAGCAGACTCGTTCCTTTGACCATTGTCTGAGGGAAGGATAAGCTCACTAAGTCTAGGGTGACAGTCAAGGAACCTGGCCCGGGGCTCCTCTGCTGCACTGTGCTGGGCCAAGGTAGAGTTCTGACACCCCTGGCTTCCTTGGAACACTGGGATCGCCTGACATATGGGCTATGAGGAGACCAAGCAAGAGAGCGAGGCTGTGGGAATCTTAGCCTGGAAAAGTTTTAAAGGAGTTTCTGCAGTGGGCTTTAAAAAGCAAATGAAAAACAATAGCAAAAGAACAAAAAGGTGAAACCAGAAACCTCAGCAAAAGTACCCTTAGAATGTCTGATTTCAAGCACTGCCCCATCCTTGCTCTTCCTCACTCCGCATTTAATTCTTATTGGATATAGGCCAGGGTCTGTCTTCTCCAGACATCATCAGCCAGTGTTGCCAGTAACTAGAGAGCAGGAGCAGGGGTCAGTCGAGGCTTATTCTAAGATGAGATGATCAAAATATTAAGAATACTTTTAAGTTATGTTTCTTAATATGATGGTAACTAGGTATGCAGTGTGTCTGAAAGAGTCACCAGGCCATGAGACCCATCTGAAGGAAGCCAGGGATCAGAATATAACCCTCTTTACGTAATTTCAAGCTGCCACTCTATCTGCCAGGGACTTGTTCCCGCCAGTCCTCACCTTTTGGTGACATGTTACCCGAGTGTTGTTAACCAGGGGCTCCCTTGAGTTCAGCGTTCCCACAGCTGCAGCTATGGTTGATGGTCCTTAGACTCTGACAGGAGCCAGGCACTCTCAGGTTGGTCACAAGAGATTTCTCCACTCTATCAGGTGATAGAGGGCAACAGTGATTATTCATGATGCTGATCCTGGGACAAGATGTTGGCTTGAAAACTAGACTTAAAATTTATCAAGAAGACAGGTGCTCAGTTACCTCACAGTATCCATGTGGCGAGGGGTGTCGGGGTTGCCTCTTGAGAAATGGACGTGACAGCAGTTTCCTCAGTTGGCCATGCCCACGGAGTTTTAAGAAAGCAAACAAGCTTGTAGCAGTGAAACCCCTAGATGAGGACAGACTGCACAATTCTGGCGGCAGAGAACCGTTGCCAGGAATTTTATCCAGTGTGTTCATTATCAGATAGTCTCTGTAAGGCGGGGGTACCCCCTCAGAGGGTCTGCTGTGTTCAGGGCTGTTCCCTGTGAGAAGTTGGGGGCAGGCACCAGGAGTGGGGTGGGGTGGTAGGTTCCAGGAGATCTCTCACCACTGCAGAGAGCCCTGGAAAGGTGGCCTCAGAACCACCTTGGTTCCTGTCCTTGAAGGCCAAGCCAGATCTTCCCGTAAACATATTACACTTGGCCAGGTGTGGTGGCTCACGCCTGTAATCCTAGCACTTTGGGAGGCTGAAGCGAATGAATCATGAGGTTAGGAGTTTGAGACCAGCCTGGCCAACATGGTGAAACTCCTTCTCTACTAAAAGTACAAAAAATTAGCTGGGCATAGTGGCGGGCGCCTGTAATGCCAGCTACTTGGGAGGCTGAGGCAGGAGAATCACTTGAACTTGGGAGGCAGAGGTTGTAGTGAGGCGAGATCACGCCACTGCACTCCAGCCTTGATGACAGTGTGAGACTCTGTCTTGAAATACATACATATATATATGACTTAAGATTCTTGAAGCTGATAGAAAAAATATTGTGGCACAGTTTTGTGAGACCAGAGGTAGCCACTTGTTGATGGTTTCCCATGGCTCTGTCCCTGGCCAAGCCACTGTAGAAGCTTTAGCTCAGGGGTGTCCAACCTTTTAGCTTTCCTAGGCCACATTAGAAGAAGAATTGTCTTGGGCTACACATAAAATACACTAACGCTATTGATAGCTGGCAAGCTAATAAAAAGGTCCTGTGCATAATTTTTTTGGCATTCACTACAGTTAAACAAAAATGTTGTTGGATTCAAGGGGTTGGACACAGCTTCTTTAGCCCCTGACGACCTTTTCATCTTAGAAGCTGAGCAGCTACAGCATGTTAGATGATTTATGAAACATCTGCTGTTGGTAGGTAATCAGAGGTGAAATTTCTCTTTTACAGACACTCAGGGTAGAATTGGAGCAGATCCCAGGTGGAAGGCCAGGTCCCTGGTGACTTCCCCAGGTGGACGGCCAGGTCCCTGGTGGCTTCTTCAGGTGGAAGGCCAGATCCCTGGTCACTTCGCCAGGTGGAAGGCCAGGTCCCTGGTGGCTTCTTCAGGTGGAAGGCCAGATCCCTGGTCACTTCGCCAGGTGGAAGGCCAGATCCCTGGTGGCTTCCCCAGGTGGAAGGCCAGGTCCCTGGTGGCTTCCCCAGGTGGAAGGCCAGATCCCTGGTCGCTTTTCCAGGTGGAAGGCCAGGTCCCTGGTGGCTTCCCCAGGTGGAAGGCCAGATCCCTGGTCGCTTTTCCAGGTGGAAGGCCAGATCCCTGGTGGCTTCCCCAGGTGGAAGGCCAGGTCCCTGGTGGCTTCCCCAGGTGGAAGGCCAGATCCCTGGTCGCTTTTCCAGGTGGAAGGCCAGGTCCCTGGTGGCTTCCCCAGGTGGAAGGCCAGATCCCTGGTCGCTTTTCCAGGTGGAAGGCCAGATCCCTGGTGGCTTCCCCAGGTGGAAGGCCAGGTCCCTGGTGGCTTCCCCAGGTGGAAGGCCAGATCCCTGGTCGCTTTTCCAGGTGGAAGGCCAGGTCCCTGGTGGCTTTCCCAGGTGGAAGGTCAGATCCCTGGTCACTTTTCCAGGTGGAAGGCCAGATCCCTGGTGGCTTCCCATGGGTCCTGCCCCCTTTTATTCTTCCTGCTCTGACTTCAACTGTCTAATCCTGAGTATACGTGAGTGTTGTCACAGCAGTTCTAGGAGTTGGCATGAGAGAAAAATGATCCCTGTCCAGTCTGTCCTGGCTGTCTTTCCCCCAGACAGCTGTAAGCAGGAGTGGACTGCTTTCACACCATACAACTTAGAACCTGGGTTGCTGGGGACAGAAAAGTGCATTTTTTCCCATACTGATTCCTTGTGACTTCTGCTTACCTGTAAACTTGGTGAGGGACTCACTGTTCACGCACACAGTGAGTGGGAGGAGTGCCTGAAAACAGAGTTCTACAGTTGGTCAGGAACTTGGGAAGAGCTAACATATTTAGAGGGTCTTAAGGCAAGTAGGGCTTTTTGACTCCTTGAAGGATTAATTTCCTTATGTAGTTTTCTCATTTGGTGTTTTCTCTAAGAAAATTCAATCAGGAGATATGTAATTCCCCCTTGTCAGTGGGGGATACGGTTCAAGATCCCCCAGTGGGTGCCTGAAACTGCAGCTAGTACCAAATCCTATATTTCTTGTACATACATACCCATGATAACGTTTAATTTAGAAATTAGGCATAGTAAGAGATTTTGAACAGCAATAACTAATAATGAAATAGAATAATTACTATAACAATATACTATAGGAACAGTTATGTAAATGTGGTCTCTCTCTCTCTGTCTAAATATCTTACTGTACATGCTCACCCTTCCTGGTCTTGTGAGGGTGAGAGATGATGCAGAGCCCGTGGTGAGAGAGCGAGAGGTGAGTGACGTAGGTTAGGCCACTGTAGCCTCTGACATGCATCAGAAGAGGACTGGCTGCTTGGGTGACCTGGGCCATCAAGCCATGAGGATGGCAGTGGCTGCAGGTCAGGAGCTGATAGTGTGGATGACTGACAGGCGGGCAGCATGGACAACACTGGACAGAGGGCTGGCTGAAGTTCTGGGCAGAGGGAGTGGGGCAGGCAGGTGCTTCCCCTTCCTCGGCCCACACCGAGCTTCTGTGTGGCCACTGAGCGAGTCCTGCCACTGGAGGGCAGTGCTGGCTGGGTGGCTCACCGGAGAACGTTTCTTTGGGTAACTTGGATGCTTTCTTCCAAGATCGTCCTTCTAAGAGGCTTCAAGCATCAATTAGAAGACTTTCCCCTGGTGATGGTTAAGGCAAAGCAAAGGGAGAGCCAGTGGTCATGTGGCTCAAGTCAGCTGGACAGTTTCTGTTGTTACTTGTGGCTTCCTGGTCCTTGTGAGGGGTAGGCAGGGGGAGCGTGAGGGAGCAGAATCGCCTTGTTTTTGCTTTGCTGTAATGGAGGAAAGGATTCAGGAGCCGTTTGTGACACATTGCTGTCACCATAAAAAAAGAAATCTACATTTTTCCAATGGCATTAACTTTGCTTCTGTTCGTGTTTCATAGGGCCAGTGTGTCACGCCCACAAGCGATTGGGCCTGTGGGGTTCTGTTGTGGGTGGGTGATTTTACCCAAGTCTCCCTCTACTTTGTGTCTTGTAGAATGTCGTTCTCTCAGGAGGCTCCACCATGTTCAGGGATTTCGGACGCCGACTGCAGAGAGATTTGAAGAGAGTAGTGGATGCCAGGCTGAGGCTCAGTGAGGAGCTCAGCGGCGGGAGGATCAAGGTAGGAGCCAGGGGCCTCCAAGCAGTGCCGGGGGAGGAGGGTGGTTTCTGTGCTGGGCCTGACTTGGGCCTTCCTGACGCAAGAGTTTATCTGGGCCACGTGGAAGAAAAACAAATGTGTGTCACTTTCTGAGCTGCACTGTGACATTACCACGGAGGTTTGCTGCCGGAGCTTCTTCCAGGCTGGTGGTTCAGACCTATGATCCTGGTGACACAGCCATAGCAGCTTCACAGTCTCCCTGGTCATACCTGCCAGCAGTTGCCTTATGTGTCGTACTCCACGACGTGGGGCGTAATGACCAGTGTCCCCAGGAGATAGTACTAATTTATGGTAAGGATGTTCTCATGTCCTCCGGAAATGTTCTCATTAAACGAAAATAACTAATGTTAGCAGGGAGTTACAAGGCGTCTCTCCAAGATAGTAATTCTCAGGCAGCTGGTGATTATCTTGGGCTTCTAACCAAGAGCAGGCTTGGATAGGAGAGCTGGGGGCCAGGAAGAGAGTGCACGAGTCCACTGCTGGGAAAGCACCACTGCTTTTCGTATTTTGGGGACGGTCAGTCTTATTTGGGATGAACCCTGCAGTGGCAGAACATCTGAAATGTTTGGTCAAAAAAAAAAACAGTGAGGTTAGTTGCTTGGATTTTGTGCTTTTGTACTTTATGCCCTCAGTGTTGTGAGAGGGCGGTTCTGCTGGCCTGGCGTACCGTGTTCCTTTGCGCCCCCGGGGCTGGAATTGTGCTAGATCTGGCAGGGGATTTGGCAGCAGAGGCAGAGGGTCACTGAGTGCTAGGTGTGAGGTTGTACTTGTGCCACTGAGTTGGGGGTGACCCCGGGCGAAGCCGTGGTCGGGTCAGCTGGAGGGTGACTGGATCACAGATGTGTCTGCGCGTGTGCAGTAAGTGAGAGCTGCTTTCTCTTCCAGCCGAAGCCTGTGGAGGTGCAGGTGGTCACGCATCACATGCAGCGCTATGCCGTATGGTTCGGAGGCTCCATGCTGGCCTCAACTGTAAGTCCCTCTCTCAAGGGCTCTGTGTTTCCATTCCCGTGCTCGCTGTTGAGTTTGGGCAAATATTGTCTATGAAGGTGACATAGTGTGTGCTCTAAACAGACAATTCTGTAGATATAAACTATATAAATATAATTTATTTATTTATTTTTCTTTTTGAGACAGAGTCTCACTCTGTCTCACTCTGTCGCCTAGGCTGGAGTGCAGTGGTGTGGTCTTGCCTCACTGCAACCTCTGCCTCCTGAGTTTAAGCAATTCTCCTGCCTCAGCCTCCCAGGTAGCTGGGATTATAGGCGCCTACCACCATGTCTGGCTGATTTTTTTGGTTGTATTTTTAGTAGAGATGGAGTTTCACCATGTTGGCCAGGCTGGTCTCGTACTCCTGACCTCAGGTGATCCACCCGCATTGGCCTCTTAAAGTGCTGGGATTACAGGCGTGAACCAGTGTGCCTGGCCCTGAATAAACTATATCTTAATAATCACACAACACATTTATCAAGTATCCTTGGTAATTAGGGGTTACAGATAACAAGATAAGTGGAATCCAAACATAATCTAAAAAAAACCCGCATTAATCATTAATTCCGGTGACTTTTCCAAATAATTATTATTTTCCCCCCTCAAATTTGTGAATAGCTCACACGTTGTTAGTGGGAGAGCAGCATTTGGTTGGTCCTAAGAAGATAGAGGCTGACACAACTTTTAAAAAGTAAAATAACCCCCCGTTTAGTAGTTCAGTTCATCAAAGAGGTAAGTCTTACAGCAGTGGTCCCGCGGGCAGGGTGGAGGCTGGGGTGAGAAGAGTGTCTTGCCTGCGTGGTGGCAGCTTTCCGTCGAGTCTCCTCTGAAGTGCGTTCTCTCCTTCTGCCTGTTGCCTCTGCTAGCCGGAGTTCTTTCAGGTCTGCCACACCAAGAAGGACTATGAAGAGTACGGGCCCAGTATCTGCCGCCACAACCCCGTCTTCGGAGTCATGTCCTAGTGTCTGCCTGAAAGCGTCGTCTGATGGTGTCACGTTGGGGAACAAGTGTCCTTCAGAACCCAGAGAAGGCCGCCGTTCTGTAAATAGTGACGTCGGCGTTGCTGCCGAGCAGCCCGCTTGCATTGCCGGTGCATGAGGCGCGGCGCGGGTCCTTCCGTCAAAGCCATTTATCCGTGTGCCGACGCTGTCTGCCAGCCTCCTCCCTCGCCCGCCCTCTTCCTCCTCCTCTTCCTCCCCCTCTTCTTCCTCTCCTCCTCCTCCTCCTCCTCCTCCCCCCTCCTCCGCCCTCCCCCGCCCTTCCCCTCCTCCTCCCTCCTCCTCCTCCCTCCCCCTCCTCCTCCTCCTCCTCCCTCCTCCTCCTCCTCCCTCCCCCTCCTCCTCCTCCTCCTCCTCCCTCCTCCTCCTCCTCCCTCCCCCTCCTCCTCCTCCTCCCTCCCCCTCCTCCTCCTCCGCCTCCGCCTCCTCCTCCCCCCCCCTCCTCCCCCCCCTCCTCCCCCCCTCCTCCTCCTCCCCGCCTCCTCCTCCTCCCCCCTCCCCCCTCCCCCTCCCCCGCCCTCCCCCTCCTCCTCCTCCTCCTCCTCCCTCCCTCCTCCGCCCTCCCCCCTCCCCCTCCTCCTCCTCCGCCTCCGCCTCCTCCTCCCCCCCCTCCTCCCCCTCCTCCGCCCTCCCCCTCCTCCTCCTCCTCCTCCCTCCTCCTCCGCCCTCCCCCTCCTCCTCCGCCCTCCTCCCCCTGCCCTCCTCCTCCGAGCTGCTAGCTGACAAATACAATTCTGAAGGATTCCAAATGTGACTTTGGAAATCGTCAGAGAAAACAACCTTAGAAAATGGCACAAAATCATTGTGCACCAGGAGAGAATGTGGGGGCACAAACCCTTTTCCTCCCAGCCTATTTTTGTAAATAAAATGTTTAAACTTGAAATACAAATCGATGTTTATATTTCCTATCATTTTGTATTTTATGGTATTTGGTACAACTGGCTGATACTAAGCACGAATAGATATTGATGTCATGGAGTGCTGTAATCCAAAGTTTTTAATTGTGAGGCATGTTCTGATATGTTTATAGGCAAACAAATAAAACAGCAAACTTTTTTGCCACGTTTGCTAGAAAATGATTATACTTTATTGGAGTGACATGAAGTTTGAACACTAAACTGTATTGTATGAGAATTACTACGGATCATGTATCTTTTAGTTTTTTTGTTTGAACTTTCTGGAGCTGTTTTATAGAAGATGATGGTTTGTTGTCGGTGAGTGTTGGATGAAATACTCCCTTGCACCATTGTAATAAAAGCTGTTAGAATATTTATAAATATCTTTCTGCTGTAGTGTGGTGGTCTTTTGGTTTTCTCCCTTGTTGCTGTGCTTCTGTTTTACATCATTGGAGGATTTGATTAACACCAAGTTTGTGGAAGGAAATTTGTTTTTTTTTTGGTTGGGAGGGTGGATGGAGATTCACTCCTGTTGCCCAGGCTGGAGTGCAATGGAACGATCTTGGCTCACTGCAACTTCTGCCTCCTGTGTTCAAGTGATTCTCCTGCCTCAGCCTCCCGAGCAGCTGGGATTATGGGTGCCCGTCAGCACACCTAACTAATTTTGTACTTTTAGTAGAGATGGGGTTTCTCCATGTTTGTCAGGCTGGTCTTGAACTCCCGACCTCAGGTGATCTGCCCGCCTCGGCCTCCCAAAGGGCTGGTACTACAGGCGTGAGCCACTGCACCTGGCCAGGAAATTTCTTTTTCTGAGTGATGTGGATGGCCTGCTCTGCAGTGGTGTGGGTCTGGATAACCCGTCAGAGATGGTTTTTGTATCTGGGGTATAGTGGGAAGGAGTGCCTAATGATTTCTGATGTTCTTTCCTAGAAATTCAGGATTCATGGCTGTAAGCTTTCAGTAACTACTCTGATGTTTGCCGAATGGATTTCTAGCTTGAAAGGTAATTTGCTCAATTAATAGATGATTTAGATTTATTTCACTCTTCATATAATTCTTATAATTATGTTACTTGAAAAATTGTTACTTACGGTATTCTAAGTTGTGAAGTATGTTTTTTTCTGTTTTTTTTTTCCTTACTTTCACTCTCAAAGGCAATGAATGAAGTATGTTTTGTTCTCACAAAATTTTCCTCCATAAAGAAGTGTAGCCAGGTGCAGTGGTGTGTGCCTGAAATCCCAGCTCCTCAGAAGTCTGAGGCAGGAGGATCACTTGAGTCCAGGAGGCCAAGGCTGCAGCAGGCTAGGGTTGAGCCACTGCATTCAGCCTGGGTGACAGAGTGAGGACCCATTTCTTAAAACAAAAACAGGCACAAAAAATGTGATGTTATTATTTGAGTTTAGAAATAAGTTTAATATTGAACTCAGTGTGGTAAAATCTGAGTTTACCAAACCTCAGTTTACCAAGTCTCTTCTATTGTCACTGTGCTAGGTCCTCAGTCTCCCCCGTCGAGTCTGGTACCACCTAGTTCTCCCCTCATCCAGTGTTTCTCTGCATTCCCTTGGGGATTTGCTGCTTCTTGGGGTTGCTGGACCATTGGCTTCTCGTGATCTTCCAGCCATTTTATTCCATCAAGTTCCCTATGGGTCTGCCTGCCTTTGGTCACACCTTTGCACCCTGAACATGGCAGTGACAGTTATTCCTTCTAACACCATTTTCCTCTTAGGTCTGTGTTATTCAGGGACCCACCTGATGCTCCCACCTTCAGCCCACCCCACTCAGTTCAGCATGCTTTCCACACATCTCACAGTGGGCGCTGCTATTCCGCCTCTGCTCTGCATTTGTGCACGGGCAGGCGCTTTGCTACACCTTTTCCAAATCCTGGGAATAACAGCACTCTGCACGTCAGTGCTGTGTCAGCCGGCTAAGCTAGAGCTGGGTAACCTGCCCTTCCACCACCGGACACCCAAAGCTTCCACGTTCCTTGTTTGGAACAAGGTGATCTTGGAGATTGTACTTCTGCTTGTCAGCTTAAAGGACTGTAGGAGAATATTTTGTTTTAAACCTACATTGACAGGATAGAATGATCCATTAGAATGTGACAGGTATGGTGCTGTGGTTCCCAACCTCAACCAAGATCCATCCCAGATTAAGAGGATCAGAATAGGGACCCCAGGGAGAGCATTCAGTTTTTGCTTTTTGTTTTTAAACCCCTTAGGCAATGCCAGTGTAGCTGGATGTGAAAGGCAGTGAGCAGAAGGAAGGGTTTTTGACTCCGGAAGATCTGAATATGAATTCTGCTGTTCCTTAAGCAAATAAGATCCTATTTTCTGTTTGCTCATCTGCGGGAGAATTGCAGTGGTCCTTTTGCTGTTAATAGAGGTGAGTTACAATTTTTTGTTTATTCAGTAAGCCTGGCAGATACCTTATATAGAAATGAACTGTGATTCTGCAATGTGCATCAGTCACTTTATAGGGAAGAAAAACGTTGACAGTTAAGTTAGTAATTTTGATAAAATCTGCACATACCTTTTTTTCAGGTTGAATGAATTAGCTCTAGATCATAATATAGAAATGAGTCAGCATTCCTATAGTTAATGGGTAGAGTCGACCTCCCATGACAGAATTATAACTCCAAATGAGCAGTTCTTTATAAAAAACATTTCACCAAATATATTCGTTAAATTGTAAAATTACAAGTCTACAGTCTTTAGGACTATTAACACTTTCAATAGTGCAGAAGCCAGGTGTGGTGACGAGTACCTGTAATCCTGCTACTGGGGAGGCAGAGGTGGGAGAATCCATTGAGCACAGGTGTTCAAGGCTGCAGGAGCCAGGGTCGTGCCACATACTCCAGCCTGGGCTGCAGAGCGAGACCTTAAAAGGCGCAGGAAGTTGCTTTCCCATATTTAATAGATTTAGACGTAAACTCAGCTTTATGATGGTGAGAATATTATACGAATGGCCTTAAGTTTAAAAAATCTGGCAAATAGTATGTGAATATTTGACAAACGTTACCTTTCTAACAAGATGATGGCTGGCTTAGAGCTGCTCTTTCCAGCACAAAACCCCTGTGGGAACAGCCTCTCACTTCTTTGGGGATACTCATCAGCTGCTCCTGAGGGCTTTAGCTTCAGTTTTATGAACTTTTAATCCAAGATGGGCTTAAGGAACACGAAGCTTATGAGTTTCTTTCTGCATCTGGTGAGGGTTGGGGAGAAATCACAGCGAGAGAGGTGGAGGCTACTGAAGTGGGAGCGGTAGAAAGGGACTCTTATCAGAGCTGCTGAGGAGGGGGAGGTGACCGCATCCCTGACAGAGGGAGGAAGGAGAAACACAGAAGGTACCCAGTGCTTGCACTGACCAACTGCAGGTGGTTGGCGGACTCTCTCCTGTTGAGTTTCCACTTCCATGTAACCCAAATGCAGGAGGGAAGAAGGTAGAGGCTTTCTTAGGGGTTGGGGCTCAGGTTTTGCCAGGCAAGTGTGATGGTGGATGGAGCAGGTGTCATGGGGGCAGGTGTAGACGGGGTTCTCTGTTGCTAACATGATTGACCACAAACTCCCAAGTAGGGCGGGGAGCAGAGGGAGACGAGAGATTGGGAGGAATGGAGGCATCTGAGAACTGGAGGCCCTGGGCTTCAAGATTAGGAGCTTGTGGTCCTGAAGAACGATGCTGGATTAAGATTTCGGAGGTGGAGAGTCATCGGAGTGGTCATTGTGCAGAGATTGAATTCACTGGAAATGGAAGAATATAGGGAATTTGCAGAGAAGGGCATTGGATGGATTGTATGGTGGGTGCTGGCCCATGCAGGAGGCTGTGGGGGTGGAGACGAGAGCCAGACTGGTTCAGCTGCTGAAGTCCTGCCTCAGTCTGGGGGGTGGCAGGAGCTGAGCACCGAATGTGAGCTGGGCACTGTGCCGGAATGCCCTGTGCTGGGCGTGGTGCTGCACAGCCCCCTCTCATCTGACCCACAACCCTGTGAAGCTGGTATTGCTATTCCCGTTTTCCAGATGGGAAAGCTGTGGCTGAAAGAAATTCAACAACATGCCAAAACCACACAGCCAGGAAGCCGAGGAGTCATATTTAATGTATTTTCACCAGTCTTGTAGAGGTAGGTCATAGCAACTGGTGAGAGGCCAGGTGGTGAAACCCAGTGACACGAGTCTGTGCCATGATTTTATCAGATAGTGGAGTAGAAAGAGTTTGAGTGCCTCAGATGTTGTTATCGTTACCTTAAGAGTTTAGTGGGGGCTGGGTGCGGTGACTCACGCCTGTAATCCCAGCACTTTGGGAGGCCAGGGCAGGCGGATCAT